TATACTAATAAAATAAATACAAATAAGAATAAAATAAAATAAAATAATAAGAAATTATGAAAGTGGAGGAAACCCATTGTAACACCACTCATTATTATATTTATGGAGCATCAGATATTTTCTTTTGGGCATGTTTTATTAAAAAGTAACTTTGGCAAGGTTATTACATGGATTTTAAAGGTCATTTTTTCTTTAGTTTAGTAGTACAAAGTAGCATTGGATAAAGGACGGGCAAAGAAAAAGACATTTGGAAAGATATACAGTAGAATGAAAGGGCAAAAGAACAATTGGAGGATGTAAATTTAAAAAAAAAATGGGTCATGTTCTATGTCCCATTTACAATTGATCATATAAAAATACCACTTTTTCAAAACCTTATAACTCGATAATGAGTAATTATTTTTAAAAAAAGGAGCCGGTATTTTATAGCAAATTGGTCTAGTTACAAAATACCGGCTTTATTTTTTTTGTATCACCTATGTATAATTTTAGGTTACCTTTTAAAAACAGAAAATTTATTTTAGTCTTTAGGTGTCCTGCACTGTACAATTTAATTAAATAAAATTATAAGATTGAAAATTTTTTGTAATATAAAAAAATAATGTAATTTCACATTTCATATTAAAATGAATAAAAAATTATAATTGAACAAAAACTCTTTATCACAACAATGGTGTTAGGGTGTATTTATCACTATTGTTAGCTTTATTTCTTTATTTCTTTAGTTACTATTATCTTATATTACTATTATTTATTATCTTTATTTCTGGATCCTATAATTACAAATGTAATGATATTAAGCATTATAAAATGAAAAATTTCTTTTTAATGATTAAGATTTTCTAACAATTTTAAACAATCCATAATTATCAACGGAAAAGAAATCGATGATGTTCTTGTTCTAATAGGTTTTTCATAAAAATTAATAGTAGAAACATCACCTAGATTCATCATTATGCAATAGACCACTAAAATTTCGATTTTTTTAGCATGCACTTAAAATTGCATACTTGGTTTCCTTCACTCTACTTAGAATTGAATTTTGAATATTGCTAATTATTTAATGAGAAAATGAAACTATCGTTTGTCATTTTCCATTGGCTATGAGTAATATTACTGCCATCCCATGATAAAAGATTATAACCTCCAATGATCTCATCAGTTTTTTAACTTTTTCCACAACAACTGTACGAATGTGACCATTACAGATATTCCAAAATTTTTTTGGAGCAAACCCATCTTTAGTTCCACACAAACTTGATTCAAATTTTTATGGAATATTAGTTGTTGAATAAGTAGTTTTTTTACGGTCAATCCAGCTAGAAATTTCCGCTGTATGATCTTCAGAAATTATATTTGAAAAAGATTCTCGTGGTTCATTTGTTAGTGTTGTAACCAAAATTAATCTTGGTGGCAAAATATTTGGATAGATGCTGATTGATATCTTCCTAAAGTTGTTTGTTAAGAATTTTTTATAAGGCTTGATTTTAACATAAATTTCAATATTCTAAAGTTGAAAATAGTGAACATGTGGTAAACATTGTTGCATAGTAATCTTAAGTGTAAGGAAATTTTCATTGGTCCAATCATCAAGACATAATCTAACTGCAAATCATCTCGTTTGAGAAGAGAGACTAATGCAGATTCTTCGAGAGATATAAAATCATTGGCATCAAAAATGAGGTTCGTATACTTTACAAATAATATCATTCCAAAAATTTTATTATTTTTTAAAGCTTTTTCGAATAAAGATAGAATGATAAATAAGAGAAGAATGTGTCCTCAACCAGGAGCCTTTGGTTTCGACGAGAAAAGTTTCTAATCTATTTGTTAATTCCCCATGTTTAAATTCATCAGTAATTGAAATTAAATCATAAATGAATTTAGTTTCAGTATTTTACAAATTAACAATTCCTCTATAAATATATCTAAAAAATAATAAATGATCAAATTATTGACGAATCAATGATAATAAATAAAATAGGTCTTCAATATATCATTAACAAATAACTTGCTGAATAATAATATTAAAAATTGTAATGGATACACTTGGATTGTTAATTATTTTAATATTATTTTCATTTGGCCGAATTTTCTCTAATTCATGACAGAAATAAGACAATCGATATTTCAATATATTAGAATGTGCAGCTAAGACTTTTCATTGTTTTCAACTTTGATGATTACATTGTGATCACCTTTATTGTTAAGAAGTTCAACAAAGTTTTGAGATAACTTACCAAAAAAATTTAAAGACATTTTTCTTTTTGTAAATTATTGAGAGTCGAAAAAAAAGGCAAAATGGGAAACAATACTTTGTTTAAAATGCAAAATTTGAGATTGTAAGTATGACGATCATAGAGTAACTGGAAATTTTTTCTATCTGTTATTAAAGTAGCAAAATATAAAACTATTCATCTCTCTTCCTAATAAATTATTCAAATAAATTATTTATTTTTCCAATGATACTTGTAAAAGAATCCTCATCAATTCGATGATTTGATTGTTATATTAATTTGTCATATTTAAAAAAATTGAATATTTCATTTTTAATATTTTTTATTTTGAAAGAAGAAATATTTTGGAATTGTTATATAAAAATGTTAATAATTTTTACAAATTAACCTTTTAATCACTGCTTATCAATTTCCTAAAAAAGTTTTTTAAATTCAAGTCACCAGTCGATTCGATTATCACGAGGTGACTCAAAATATCATATGACGATCGAAGTCCTGAAAATTTGCCTGTCATCTATTATTCTGGTTTTAAGTTACTCAATTCTTTTTATTTTGCGAAATAAAATAAAAATCACTATTCATAAATTGTCGAAACTTAATTTCATATAATTCGGATATAATTTTTTTTTATTTTAAAAAATAACTTCTACCTTACATATTATAAGTGTTTAAAAAATGAAAACGTGTGAAGAATGCTATCATGAATATGATAATTGGAAATGGTGCAAACCGTGCAAATCAACACATTTAAAAAATGATTTTGATAAATGGACAAGTGGAAATGAAGCGATAGATAAATTTATTCAAGATGCTCGACTAAATGCAGAGTATAATTATGAAGTAATAGAATGGATACCTTTTATAGATTTGAAGGTATTAAATAAATAGCGAAAGGTGGTTTTAGTACTATTTATTATGCTAAGTGGATCGATGGATTCATTAAAAATTGGGATATTAAAACTCAACAATAGAAAAGGAATTATTAATTGGAAGTGGTATTAAAAAAGTTTGATGGTATTGGAGATATAAGTAAAGACTCTTAAATGAGATAGAAATAATATTCTAATTTAATATGAAACTTTATTTCAAAATATATAATGATTCAAAAATATATTAATTAGATGTCCATTCACTTGAGAACAAGTGTTACGTATACACCATTTCCTTTGGAATTACAAATGATTCAGAAACTCACTAGTACGTGATGGTTTTAGAATATCTAAAAGGTGGAAATCTTAGAAAGTTTTAAATAAATAATTTTAATAATATTAATTGGTCTTAAAATTATTTTATTTAAGAGAATTAGCAGGAAATTTTGCAGCAGTTCATGAATGAAATATATTACATCACGATTTCCACTCTGGAAATATTTTAGCATTTGATTTTAGTGGTGATTTATATATTTCAGATTTTGGGTTAAGTAAATTAATTTGGAAAAATATAGAAAATTCCCGGAGGAGAAATGTTTTTGGAGTATTATCCTATATAGCTTCTGAAGTATTAGGAGAAGGAAGAATATACAAAGGCGGCTGATGTTTATTCATTTGCAATTATTGCTTATGAAATAGTCACGAGTTTACCGCCATATAATAATGATCTAGCTTTGAAAATATGTAAAGAATTAAGACCGAAAAATTCCATTTCACACTCCTAAATTAATTACACAAATGATAATGAGATGTTGGGATGCTCGAATTACCTGTCGACCCACTTTAAAGAGTTATATGAAATTTTATATAAATACGATTGTAATTACTGTGAAAATGAGTATAGATATAATAATAAAATTACATTTCAAATTAAAGAGGCTAAAGAATTTTCTAATAATCAAACAACTGATACAACACTTAATTATAAAACACATAAACAAGCAATTTATACTAGTAGACTTCTCAATTTTTCAAATCTTCCAAAATCTGTAAATGAGCCAAATTTTGAAAAAGAACTTAAAGCACTAACAGAATCTTTTTCTCATATAACTACTAGTAAGTATCAATTAATAATTTATTTTATTCATTTTTTATTTCAAGTTACCTGGAGCTTCGAAAGTATTTGAGAAATTAGAAACATTTGTTTCGGCGACAACAAATGATGAACTAACTAGACCATTATATGAATTATTAGCATTAATTTGTAATAATATTTTAAATATGGATTTAGTATTTAAGTTAGAATCTCAAGTGCAATTATTAAAAAAACTTATCAGTGTTTCAAAAACAATTAGAAAATCTATCAATTATTAGTAATAGTAATATAAATTATAATTCATTATTATGGGTTATCAGAAACCTTAAAGTGTCTTCGTTTAAAATCAGTGGATTTTAATCAGTTCGAGAAGAAATCATCACCAATTGGACAATTTGCTCACTTAAAAAACTTTATATTGAATATTGTTTACTTTATAAATCGGATAGTTTATTCTTTGCTTCATCATTTACCCAATTAAGTAGCTTTCATTATATTTATTCGATTTTTTCATTAAATGAGCATTCTCAAGAATTTATTATAAAATTCTCTACACTGCCAATACAAATTTAAAAATATTTGTCTAGATTTATTTCTCACAATTCCATTCGATATATTTTCAACTATATTGAATTATTGTACAAAGATTACCGAATTAAATTTACTAATTTTAAAGAATTAAGATGATTTTTATTTGGTTATGTAAAAGGATTGGATGCTAATAATTTATTATGTAAAATGGCCTAAAGTGTACCAGAATCACTTGAATCTATTGAAATTAGAATGGAAATGTTTAGATCTGAAAGTTTAAGAAAATTTTTTGAAGGGTGGTGTCGTAAAGGAGGAGGAAGAAATAAAAAGATTATTATAAAATTTCAATCGCGACTATTTACATTAAGTGATGAGCATTTTAAAGTTATTGATGAATATGGAGTTTAATTTGATATATAATAATAATCCAAATAATATTTTAGAAATAATAAAAATAAAACCTAATAAGAATTTATATTTATTTATAGTATATTTACATGATGAATTATGTGTTCAATGAATTATTTATTATTTTGTTATTAAGATACTATGTAATAAAAATTGACTTTATATACAATAATTTTGTTAATGAAAAACATTATTTTATAAATTTTTGAATTTATTAAAGTTAAATTAAATTTAATGTTAAATTAGTTTAATTATTTAATTTAATATTGACTTTAATTTTAACGAGAAAATCAATATTAACAATTATTTTTAATGATATCAACATAATAGTTAAGATGTTTTTTATATTTTGTTTCGTTGCTTCGTGTTTCTCTTGCAATTATTTGATATAATAAAATAATCATTCAGGGTCAGGTCATTCATGAGCTTGAATTTTTAGTTAGTATTTCTAAATCGTAAAATGTACAATGCAAAGTATTTAGAATAACTTATTATTTCTTCTTTTTTTTGATTTTATTTTTTGTTTATCGTACTTGAATAAGATAACAAAAAATAATTAAAATCACATCATCTGATAGTATTATTTGAAATAATTAATAGTTATGCCCTAATTATCTAAGAGTGAAAGACTTTAAATTTCCAAATTGATTTTTTTTTTGATTTTTGAAACCATTTCCACTTCACTTGTCCAATTATCAAAATAATTTTGAAATGCTTTGAGTTACATGTTGGCACTACATACTTTGGGTACATAGACATTTATTATGTCAATCTCATTCTTTATATAGACCCATATTCATTTTATTATTTTATACATAATAGAAAATAAAATAAAATTACTAATATAACCTAAAGAAAATATAACTTTCTTTCACACCAAAAACTATTTTACATGTTTTGGAAAGTTTATGTTTATTTACAGTATTTTTATTAAATTTACTAATTTGTCTCTGGATCATAATATAGAAAACCCAGTAAAACGCTAATAATAAATCCAATAAATATTATAATTTTCACCCAATATTCATCTAAACATTCACTACAACAATTAAAATCATCATCATCATCCAGGATAATGAAACAATCTCAATTCCTAATATTTCGACCAGTTAATAAATTATCCGGATTGTAAAAATTCCAATCCCAAATTTATTGAAGAATTTGGATTAACAAATGATGATAAAATCATTTGTACCAGATCTGAATGTTAGTAAATTTCATGGCAATTATGTACGAATAATGAATTTTCACCATCATTAAGTATATAGTCACAATTAATAAGAATAAATGTGAGGTATGTTTGAACTATTCGCTTCAGGAGATTGAGTTAATTTGTCATTCGATGGATTTATCCACGAAAATCTTGAGTCAACCAAATAATTATTTCGAAGATCCAATGAGGAAAATCTTCTATTCGAAATTATGATGTGCTGCGCAAATCACATGCATAGCAAACATGACTATATATGGGAGAAATGAATCCCATAATTTTTAAAAATTTCTATAATTTATCATATTTAAGGAATACTCCTACACATACTGTTGGAGTATCTCCCTCCATAATAGAGAGAATCAGAGTTATCCACTCTGCCCAAATAATAGGAGTCAGAGCTATCTCGCTCTGCCCAAAAAATAGAGAGTCCGAGTTGTCTCTCTCGGTAAAAAAGGAGCCTGAGGTGCCTCTCTCAGTAAAAAATGCAGAGCCCCTGCCATGCACGCTTCTTTTTATACTTTTTTTTTAAAATTATAATCACTTTATAGTAGATAGTGAAAATAGCGAAAAAAGGAAAAAAAAAAAGTATTTTATTTTAAAATAAGATATGGCCAATTTTAACCCGGAGATCCTCTTGTGTGAAATATAACATGAAATTTTATTAAGCGAAAATTTGCTCTAATTTCCACCACCTGTGAAATTTGCGTAAGTTTTTTAAGCGTTTTTTTCGTTTTTCGAATTCACTCGCACTTTACGAGACATAGAGAGACTTCTACTAAAACATTTCTAAGATAAATAGAACGACCTTATTCTTAGCTACAAAATGACACGTGTTTCATTCCCGTAGCTACGATTTTCGCGGAGATCGCACGGTTTAAAAAAAAAAGTTTGTGAAAAATTGTGCGAAAATTAGCGTGCTATCTCCGCGAATATTGATGCTACAGGAAATGAAACACTTCCCATTTTGTAGCCAAGAACAAGACTGTCCTATCTATCATAGCAATACTTTAGTAAAAAATTTCTCTGTGCCTTGCTAATCGCGAGTGAATTCGAAAAAAAAAGGAAAAAAGCGCACAAAAAACTTGCAGGTGGTGAAAATTAGTGAAAATTATCGCCTTATTAAATTTACTGATGAAAGTAATCAAACAATAGGTAAACGTAAGCAAATCAGAAAGAACTGGAAGAGGCTTAAGTTATTTGCGTAATCTGAAACCTAACAGATCACAATTCCAACAATAAAAAAGATTCATTGGAGAACAATAACTGTGACATTTAGGTAGTGGAAACACTATTTGAGATTGTATTGGTTTCGATATGATATGTATAACTTTTATCAAATGGCTATAAGGTTCAATTACAAAATATAAACATTACATTTATTTGTAAAAATGGTACATTTTTTTTTTTGTATTCGCTCGAATTTGCGCAAAATTTTCGTTATATACTGTAAAAGCCATGGAAAATTTACATTCATGATTTATCATAAGACCTTCTAGGTGTAGCGAATCAAAGATTTCTTCCTTCTCCTCTAGGTAACGTATCCCTTTCGATGGTCTAATCGACCGAGTTGATATGATATAGACTTGTTAAAAATAATAAAAAAATGAAGTAACAAAAAAAAAAACTACTTATTTTGTTCATATAAAATTGAACAATTCTTTTACTTTTTTTTTTTATCTTTTCATGTTACATGAGAAATTAAAAATGTAAATATAGATAATAAAAGAATAAACAAAAATAATAATAAAAATTTTAAACAAATATTTCTATGTAAAATTGTTCGTTTTCTTTCGCTCATTTCAATTCGTCCTTTTTGATATATAACATGAAGCAAAGTTATAAGGTTTATTTTTTACATTTTCGAAAATATCATAAGATAAGAATTTGTCCAATTACCATTAGTAGTTTTAGGTCTATCTTTCCACCATAATGTAATTCTTAAATAAACCAATGTCAAGTCTTTAAATTATGTGCATAATAATAGGTTCAGTTCGCCGAATTTTTCAGTCTGCTTACTATTTCATTAGTTCTGTAGGTTAAGCCAAAATCTTTGCAATCTAATACAGAATTTTTTAGGTTTGTTCCTTTTTAAGTTTCACTTCTGATTGCAAAGTTTTATAAACATAGAGTCTAACAATATAATGACTATTAATTACTTCACAATGATATTAAAAAGCTTTTCTACGCTCTATCATTAAATTATGATGAAAAAGATGGACGGTGAGTAAGTTCTAATCAAGTAATCGATTATAATTTTAGTTAGGATTATATTTCAATCTTATTGTGTTTAAATGGTCAATTCCTGAATTCACAATACCTCGACAGTTATAAATAATTACTACCATTGAAAAGTTTTTTTTTTTCTTTTTTGTTATATATACGATTTTATTAAAATACAGTAATTAGATTCGAGAATTATTAATAATAAATTAATTGGAAATTTAATTAGATATCGAGAAATAAATAATACTAACGAATAAATGTATTTAAAAATATACTATATATATGTAACATTAATACTTATCGATAATAAAAATGATTGAAAAGCAAAGTAACACCACTAATCATAAGAAGGAATTATCTTCAATAAAAGAAAACCTGTTTACATTATACAATCCTCTACAAACATTATATTAACTAGTATATTAGTATAATTATAATTATTTATTTTTTATCGAAGTTTAAAGCTTATCTAGCTTGATTAGAATATTTTAACGAAAATCGAGTTATTATTCTTCAATAAATAAAATGCATATTTATTTGAATATTTAAAATTAATGAAAAAATTACTCAGATGATAATTGATTATTATATTAATTAATATCATTTAAATATATTTATTTTTGATTTTTAATAAAAACTTCAATACCGGAATAAAAAAGATAAATTAAAAAATTATAACAAATGATTCAATTATAAAATACCGTTTTTTTTTTTTTTTTTTTATTATTAGTTAAATAAAATACAATTTTAAGTTAATTTAATTCATATCTATACTTAATGTAAGACTTTATAAAATATAAATTATCTCTTGACTCCAAATAAAATCAATCGAATTTATTGTATTTTAATATTTATTATATTTAAAAATCTTCAATATCATCATCTAATAAAATAAAAATAAATTAAATTAATAATAAAAAATAAATAAAATGAATATATAATTGAAACTTACTAGTAGTTATATGAGAAAAAGATTCTGTTAATTCTTTAAGCTCTTGTTCAAAATCTGGTTCATTTATAGGTTTTGGAAGATTGGAAAAATTTAGAAGTCTACTGGTATAAATTGCTTGTGGATGTGATTTATAATTAAGCGGAGTTGTGGTTGTTGTGTCATTAGTTGTTTGATTTTTAGAAAATTCTTCGGCTTCTTCAATTTGAATTGTAATTTTATTAATTTCATTCTTATTTTGATACTTATTTTGATAATAATTAAGATAATATTCATGCAACTCTTCAAATAATTCTTTAAAAGTGGGTCGACAGGTAATTCGAGCATCCCAACATCGCATAATCACTTGTGTAATTAATCTAGGTGTGTAAAATGGAATTTTTGGTCGTAATCCGTTACACATTTTCAAGGCCAGATCATTATCATGCGCCACATCAGGATATGGTGGTAAACCAGTGACTATTTCATAAGCAATAATTGCAAATGAATAAACATCAGCCGCCTTTGTATGCTCTTCCCCAACTAATACTTCAGGAGCTATATATGGTAATACTCCAAAAACATTTCTCTTTTGAGGATTTTCTATATTTTTTCCAATTAATTTACTTAACTCAAAATCGGAAATAAGTAATATAGCACCAGTTTTTGATAATAAAATATTTCCAGGGTGGAAATCGTGATGTACAATATTTAATTCATGAATTTCTGCAAAAGCTTCTGCTAACTTACGTAAATACCATAAAATTGTAGTCCAATTAACATTATTTAAATTATTCAAGATTTCCACCTTTCATATATTCTAAAACCATCATGTACTTGTGAGTTTCTGGATCTTTTGTGATTCCATAAAAGTAGACTGAGTAAGATGATTTTATTGTTAAAAAGTGAATAGACATCTAAATAATACATTTATTAATTATTATTCATTTTCAAATACAGGTTCATATTAAATTAGAATATTATTTTACCTCATTTAAGAAGTCTTCATTTATACCATCAATCTTTTTTAATACCACTCCTCGTTGACCATTTCTTTTCCATCGTTTATTTGCAATATCCCAATCATAAATATTTCCATCGATCCACTCAGCATAATAAATAGTACCAAAACCACCTTTTGCTATTTCTTTAATATCTTGAAATCTATCATAGGGTATCCATTCTATTGCTCCATAATCTGCATTTAGTTGAGTACCTCGAATAAATTTATCTATTTCATCATTTCCACTTGTCCATTTATCATTTTTGAAACGTTCCGAGTTGCACGGTTTACACCAGTAACCATTATATTCTTGATTGCATTCTGGGCATGACATTTTATTCACTTAAATTGAAATATGTAAGATAGAAGTTTATTTTTAAAATATCGATAAATAAATTTATATTTGAATTAGGCTTTGATAAGGTATAAATGGTTAAAAAAAATTTTTTTTTAATTATTCTGGTAAATACTAACCCATAATAAACAAAATGTTACTAATAGACATATGATATTTTGAGTACTACCTCTTGTTTATTTACGAGTCCTTTTTGAGCAAATAAATTATCATATCTGATATATCAGAATCGATTGACATTCTGTTGCACAAGACTTTGCATTGTCTAAAGTTCTTTCTTTCTAGTATACTCAAACACTTATTTGATAAGAGGCGTTTTACACAGCAAAGCATTGTAAATAAACATAAAAATTTTTTTCACTTAGAGGTCGAAATTCTGGTATTTTTTTTTTGAAAGTCGCATTTAAATGTTTTTTTTTTTTTAAGATTTTTTTATTATGCCTGGACATAGCATAAAGTTGTTAGATTATTAAGATTAAACTCGATTAAAAAATTCTAGAGTAAATTAATATATAAGTCATTCCAATCTTTAATTGAATAATATGAGTTGTGGATTTTGTGAATTACTATTATCGTATTACGATTATTCGCACGAAAATATATAAATCTTTTTTTATTTTTCATTTTTTGTTGATTGTGGATTGATAAACAAACCAACAACAGCACAGCCTAATTTTCTCAAGATATTAAAGTTATTTGAATAGCTTGTAGTTCCGGTTGGAATTCTTAAAAAAAACGAAAATTTCATTTTCTTTTCTTTTATAAAAAATTAATTCTTTATTTTATTAATAAATTAGAAATCATAATTAACAAGCTAAGTTATTTACTGTAATGATAAATTCATTCTATATTAAATATATGCTTGTGCAAAGATTTTACAAAATATAAAATATTCCCTTGAATATAAACTGAATTAATTAATTGGATTCATTAAATATATTAAAATAATTTTATAAATAATTCTAAACATGCTTGAAATTTAGAAATCTTTTTTTCTTTTAAATGACTAAAGGCCTCCTCTTTATCCTTAAATAATAACCATAAAAATTATTTTAATAAAAAAGTTCTATTAAAGGAATAAAATTTGCCAAGATAAAATCTACTGCCTGACGCTTGAAATTTAGAAATAAAAAATAAAAATAATATATAATTTAAAATAAACAAATATAAAATATGATTGATATTTATTATAATTAAAAGGTTTTGGAAGCGACTGATATAAATTACATGTGTTTTGTAATTAATGGAAGTCTTTTGCAGATAATATTTCAGCTTTAATCAATTTTTATTATTTCCCAACAATTATAATCGTATTTATAACTCTTCATGCAATTCTTTAAAGTGAGTCGACCAGTATCCAATATCGCATAATAGTACTTGTAATTAAATTGTCGTCCCATTACATATCTTCAAAGTTAACTCATCATCATGAAGTGGTCGAAAACTAGTAACTACTCCATAAGTAATAGCTGCAAAATAATACACATCAGCAACTCTTGTATATTCTTCATTTCCAATTAATACTTAATGAGCTATATATATATATGTTGATTATCAGGAAATGTTTCTATTTTGTGGATTTTCTACTTTTCAAACCAATTTTTATCAGAACGTAAATTCTGATACAATTAATTTATTTATTTACTTTTCTTTAGAAAAAATGAACTTGAATAAAAATGACATTCAATGAATTATGCACAGAATGTAATCAAGAATATAATGAAATATTGGTGCAAACTGGCAACTCAACACGTTTCAAAAATAATTTTAATAAATCAGTATAATTAAAATTCATTATCGAAAATTTTTCGTGAATTTTAATATAAAATATGGTTAAATGAATTTTTTGTACTATTGTTAATTAGACAAAGAACACGCTAGAATAAAAAATTTTATCACGATAATCAAAAATGAAAATCGAATTGCTATTGAATTAAACAGTTTTACTTGATGTTAACCAATGTTTAATAAGAGATAAATGTAAAAAAAAAATATGAAAATGAGATATTTTACACCTCGAAACGATCTTGATTACGAAATCTAAAGGACCAATCACTGAGAACAGGAAATAAAAATATTAAATTCAAACTGCTCATGGAAAATTACTAGCATTAACAGTTATTTTTTTTTTGACAGTTGAATATTGATTAAATAAAATATTTAACTTATGATATTTTACTATAAAAAAAAAGGAATTCTTACAATTAACAACTGGGCACTTCGTGTTCATGATACGTTGTTTGATTTTTAAGTAAAATATCCAACAATGTACTGTACATTCATAATATTTATTAATAAAATATGAAAAATAAAAATAAAAATGCAATACTGATTAAAATCGCTGCACCAATTCCCGTTCCCGAGAATCTTTTGTTGTAGATGTAATAATACAGAATTTGTACTAGGACTTGTGCGGTTCACTTGTAGCGACAGAAATGGAAGGATTGCAATGTATAACTCATGTATCATTTTTTGTATTATTAAGTTTGTTTTTCTTTGGCAAAAAGAAAAATACATATTTAATAAAATGTAATTCAGATACCAAAATTAGAATTGGTATTCCAGTAAATAATCGTTGATATTTAAAAAATGAATCTAATGAAAATTTTTATCAAGTTTTTATGATCTGCATTTAGGCGGATTAAGATATATTATTAGGAAATACAAATTTTGATATTGTTAATTCATGATTATCTCTATAAATTTAACCTTTTCATCTTTTTGTTGTATATCATCGCCATTATCAAGAGATCGTCATCATCATCATTATTATTGCTTATTATATCATCATTTCATCATCATCATTAGATCATCTTCATTATCATCATCACCATCACCATTATATATTGTCCACGCTTATTATTATCATCATAAGATCATTCTTGCTCTTCATTAGATCTTCTTCATCATCACCATCATTATCAATAATTATTAGATTGTCCTCGCTTATTATTATCACAATCAGGTCGTCCTTCTCATCACCAGATCGTTCTTGCTCTTCATTCCATCCATCAAATTGTTCCTGTTCTTCATCATCATTATTAAATTGCTGTTCTTTTTCATCACCATCGATTGTTCTTGTAATTTATCTTCATCATAAGTGTACCATCTATTCCCTTCAAATTCTTTTTGAGATTCTTTTATAAATCCCATATGCCATATGCATTGGTTATCACTAAACAGTTGGAAAAAATAAGACAGTTTTATCATAAATAAGATTTCGTTAAGATGTTTGGTAGGAAAAATGATTTATTTTGATTTATGAAAAGGAAATTAATTTCATGAATTTTCATATATAGAATGTCCAATTTGTGCCATCAATGACATTCTTATCTTTGTTCATTCAACCAGTGTATGTTTTGTTAATAGAAGATTCTTATGAATAACTTCGATTATCCCAGCAACACATCTGTAAAAAGCACTTGTGGCACAAGTTCATTTGTAACATGTAAGAGATATTCAAGAATCCATTGATGATTTCTTTAGTTTTGTCTGAGACCACAGCTATTGAAGCCATCCAGAAACATGTGTGCTTATAGACAACAATTATAAGAGACAAATACATTTGGTATTCGTTCATTTGTGATGTGTTATTGTTTATTGCAACATCATGGAATTTTTGTCGCAATTCAATCTGTGATGGTCTTATCTAAAAAGGTATGTAAGATCATTATCTTCACCTTCCAATCTTGCCTCAGCAATTCATTAATTTGGTATATGTTTCTGCTCTGCAACATCAGTTTTCATCATTTCTTTATCATGCCAAAAAAGACAAATTTCATATGCATTCTTGGAACGAATTATTACATCTGGAAAATATTTAAAAATATACGAATAATAGATCCAGCTCTGCAACCAATATTGAGAATTTGATTTCTTTAAGCATTAATGTACTGAGACAATTATTTGATCTGTATTTTTATGTTAAGTAGTGGGTGACGGTTTCCTTTGCATATAGAAATTATATGTATAATGCCACCAGTGAGACCAAGATTGACTTTCTATAGACAGTTCATTTTACACTTTCACATTCACGAGTATATTTTATATCAGCTTTTTTTAGCACATGAATTTTTGTACATAAATGTATGATGGTTATGGTTGATTCTTGTTTCACTCAAGCATATATTTAAATGTCTTAAAATCCAACTTCTATTGTATGATTTTTGACTTGCCTTTCAGCTGAATTATAATCTCTATATTCAAACCTAAATACTACACTTTTTTCATTATAATCTTTGCTACTTGAGTTTTCAAACTCTTGCAAGGTTTTGACATCTGTAATCCTTGTCCTCTTTCAAGGCATCCACTTCAAAAAGGAAATTCACATACACATTGTAATCCATTTTGTGCTGATGTTTTATAACTTGTAGCTTGATAAAAGTTCGTATTTTTGTTATCGAAGAGAAAAAAAAAATAAAGACATTTGGCAATTCTTTTTTTCATGTAACTTTATTTGTATAAATACCATTTTAAGCAAAATTATATAACTGATGATAATAATCAGTGGTGACAATTACACTTTTTAATAAATTCAAAAGTTCTAATAAATAATCTTACAAAATAATATCTTCTAATAAAAATGATATATCATTACATTTCATAGAAATATGTAATTTAGAGTAAATAAATATTATCTTATATGATAAATAATCAAACCCTATTTATGACCTGTATATACTGTATACTATCCAGGGATATTTCTGCATTTGTTACAAATACTTGAATTATAAATACAATAAATTGTAATACAATCAAAATTATTAAACCTATTCCAGTTCTAATTCCAATCTCGAGGAAAAACCATTGGGAGATGTGGAGGGTTAAATTTGAAAACCATGTATTATTTGTTATATTGTAAAGATATACTTTGGAGTTATAATTTTGATTATCTATGGTAAATCTCATTACTATAATAGAAAAATGATTACTTTAAATATTTGAAATATATTACTTACCGAATGTAATTATCATATAATTAAAATTGAAGTTTGAGGTATGTCCATAGATAGAAGGTGGAAAATTGACATCGGAATTACTTGGAATTATCTATTCATACGGAGATTTGGTTGTATTTAATACAGCAAGGTTTGGGCTAACCTTAGAATAATCGTATGTACAGCCTCCAAATATAATTATATTTCCATCGGGTGCTATATAAAAATTTTTACAAAAAATATAATCTTTTTATGCTTCGAAATAATAAATGATTTGGGCACCTACTTGACATAGAAGGAAATTCCATCTTAGATCAATATAAGAATCAGTAAAATTCTGAGAATTAAACGCTATTTTTATATTATATTTATTTTATATAAATTAACGTCAAATAAATACCATATATGACCATCATCACTTGTTGTATTAAAGAGTTTAGTCTATTTGACAGAGAATTATATGTTAATATTTGGTGAATATAATTTGAATATTTCGTTAGTTTATATTAAATTATTCACACTATTCATTATTACAAGAGTGGAAGCTTGGTTTCTAGTTCACCAATATAAATAATAATTCCATTGGCAAAAGACTAGCTGAATAGTCACTACTCAATGGCGGAAGATTCTTAGTTATTGCTAAAGTTGACCATTCTATTGAAGAAGTATCTAGCGTGTTCATGTCTCTGTAAAGTTTCCCAGTAGTTTGATTTGGATTAGTGATATTAAATACACCAAATATATATATAATATTTCTGACTCATTAATTACTCCCATCGTTTGCTGTCTGACAGAACATTATCACTAGTAATTAATGGTGTAGTCCAATTAGAATTAGAGTTGCCATATGTATAAAAGATTATAACCGTCTTTGTCTTTATTTTTAATATACCCACCAATTGGAAATATTGTAGACTTATCTACACTAACGATAGAAGTTGAACACCACGTATATATAGGAAGATTTCCTTCGTGAATTAAATTCCATGGTAGATTTGTATCATTTGTATTATTAAATGCATCTGATAAATCTAAATAGATTAATTCATTCGTATTGATATGTTCAGGATTACTTAAGTCCACACCAAGAATTAGGAGCAGATTATTTATTATTACGCTATTATGATAGTATCTTTCACTTGGTTCATAGTATGAAATTAATTAATTATAAAAATAATGTAAAAAAAATAAATTCAAATAATTTAAATAACATCTTTTAAATGTAACTTTTTTGAAATTATAGAATGATAAAAAAAATACTGCATTAATCTTCTCGGAGTTGGTAGAGTCTTGCCGATTATTTGATTACTGCAAACGCATAAGTTTGTACTATCAAAACAGCATAAGTGCTCGTTACTACATACAAAGAAGTCTTGATAAAAAGGAAATTTTTAATAAAAATGTTCTGTGCGTTCATAACAATTATAGATAAAAAACAATAAACATATGCATTAAATTTTTTGATAACACTAATCTTGGAATCTTGTTTTAATTTGACCATTTTTAGAATTAAGTTTATAAAAATTTTTATTTGCTAAATTCAATGTTTCGCCTTGCTAACAAATATTATATCTGTTCAGTCTATACTTGAAATGATTGGATTATTGGTTTTGCTTCTATATATTTTTTTTTTGAACTAATTTTTTCCCGTGGCGAAGCCACGTATTTAAGGTTATTCACTTATAAAAAGTTTCACATGTGGCAACTATCGATAATTTTATATTATGTTATATAAAGGTAATTAGTCATAATTATGTATAAAATCGTCAATCGTTGCACATAAGTGAATATGAAAAACGGTACTAAGTAACGTTAAATATAAAAAGAACAGACTTATGTCATCAAAATCAAGTGAATAATTATCACTTTAAATTTTTCGTCCATTCGATATTTAATCGCTAATCATTCTCTCAATTTTGGTGATATAGATCTTTCCTTCTTATTTAATATGCAATTAATTCTTATCTTTAAGATTACTTAGTACTGTTTTTGATATTTACTTATTAAAATAAAAAGTTTATACGCAGTAACATTCGACGATTTTTAATCACAAATATTTTCTAAAGTTACACGATCAATGGAACAAATTGATACCATTGTGGTGACGACGAAGGATTGGTAAGATGGCACAAAGAACATAGAAGATAGATAGATACTTTTGTTTTGAATCAATAATTTTAATTTTAATTTTTTTTTTAAAATAAGTATTTTTGTTAGGAATAATACTTTGCTTGTTAAATTTAAGAATTTTCGATTTTCAAGTTTGAGATTTTATTGTCACGTTCTGTGCAGAACAAAGCGAAAGTTACGCCAATCAGTCTCAAATTTATCACGTATATTACTAACACGATT